AGCAGGAGGAGGTGGTGGAGGAGGAGGAGGAGGAGGAGAAGGACAAGGACGAAAACGACGACGACGACGAAGAAGAAGAAGAAGAAGAAGAAGAAGTAGAAGAGAGAGGAAGAAGGACCAGCAGGGGAGGTGGAAGGCAAACACAAGAAGAGGCGACTGGCTCGCAGAAAACGTAGCGAGACACCGCGCGATACCTCGGAAGGCGGGTCCGCATGATGAGTAACCGGGGTAGATTCAATCACGTCAAACGAAACCCTGCAAGACCAAGGCTACGAGTGAGTGAGTATACATTTGCGAGCCTACGTTCCCTGTTGTGCAGTGGTAGTGTAGAAGCGGCAAGGACAAGATTGCAACGCAGGTGGTTGGTTCAATGGATGATTGGGCGTCAACACTTACTTGTGAAACATGTTCAACAACGACCTGTTCCAAAGAATTGGGTTATTAGCTGAGTTGTTTCGCTCACTCATCATTTGGAGCTTTCTTGGTAGATACTGCACTTTCCGCAGAGAGAGATGAGGCGCTACAGGCAAGCTATGTTTCTGTGTGTTCCTGTAGCACGGCTGGGTGAGCGTGGGCCGGCATCGATGACGAGCAGATGCAGAAGGGGTAACGAGAGCGAGGTATGTTTACGATCTATCTAATCTCACAGTTACTTTTCGATTTTCTCCCCCCTCCGGGGGGGGGGTGGGCGGGGGCATGTTATGTGTGTGTGTGTCCGGAATGTTTTTCGAGTAGATCATCCTTGGTTGCACCTTGTTTCGACCACATCGATCGTCCATATGGAGGGGGGGTAGTTCTTCTGATAAACCATACGGCGTGCACAACGAGTAATATCTATAGCCCTTGTCGACGTGGCATCCCACCGTGCAGAACTGCTGTGTTCTAGCATCGGTCGACCGAGCGTGTAACAACGCGACCACCGGCGGTGATGCAGGGATCGCAGCGGTTTTGTGCGGGGTTTCAATCTCGTCTGCGTTAGATACCTCCGAAGTTGCGTAGAAGCCTCTTTTGAGCGCCAATAGCACACGTACGTGTGTATGTGTTGTGTTTTCGTCCTATTTATTATGGCGACAGTCCTAGACTTTCGTGTCAGTGTATGTAGCAAGTACAACGTCAGTGTGTATGTTTTCGTGCAATTACTACTACTGTACTCATCCAGGGCCACGCAGGAGGGGGCAAACACTGGGTGAGGTTGTTTTCGTTTTCTTCGTGCCTCACATTCCTCCTGCGTTGCGTGCTGATTTTGATTTTATCGCAAGAAGGTACGGGAAAGACAACATGATTGCGGATACGGCTCTCGATGACCCTCCTCTTCTATTCTCATTAGGAAAAGGTTCTCAAATTGGTCCTCCTATGCATGTTGCCTTGCTGGATGCCCTGAATGCATGCACGCATGCGACTCGTCTGTAGTGTGGCAGCAGCAGCGTTTTCTCGCGACATAAAAGCGGCACAATCACTCATAAGAGGTGAACTTTGGTGGCATGTGAAGGCAATTTCCGGCCGCAAAGAAAATCAAACGATGCCTGGAACGTTTGGAAATTAAATTAGTGAAAGAGAAGAAACCGAACAAACTAGAGTTTTCTTCGTGAAGAACGAAATATGGTCTGGAACGATTGTGGTTCGGCTGCTCTCTCAGACGAACCTCGGTGTACGAAAGGATGGAGAGAGCAGTACATATGTCGAAGCGATATCGACATGGAACAGACTGTGCTTTTGGAAGCACACCTTTTTAGTGCACATGTACAGAGACAGCGACCGGCAGTCAATGGAGGGGTCTTTTCCTTCCAAGGATGCATCAAGGCTTAATCGGGGACGTTTTCCGTTGAGCATGGGTCGTGTCGGACCGGGCGGCTCTCGCATTTCCCGCCGAAAAAAAGCCGCAACTCACAAAAATGACTTATTGTGCGCTTTTCAGCGGATACTGCGCTACGCCGGCATTTTTCTGGGTCGTCGGTCACCCAACCTGCATCTTTCCATACACCCCATAATGCAAAAAACATCGAGGATTGCAAAGCCCCCCACCACGTGCTTCTGTACATGTGTAGAGCAGCAGCACATTTAAATGTACCGTCATGGCCGTGAGACAACGTTCAAACCCGAAGGCAGGACTTGCACCAACGGAAAATCAAGAAGAAACAAAAAACAAGGATGGGCCAAAGCAGATTCTATGGGGTTAAAATCCAATCACGGCCAACCCTGTGACGTTCGCTACTGTGCCATTACCAATCCCTCTCCTCCTTCACGTTGGGACTCGACAAAAACCGATCGCAATTGCATGCTTATAACTTGCTCCCCCGTGTGCGCTTTGTTTTTATTTGCAATGCACACCAACAAAACTACGGCACCAGGGCATGAGGAATGATTTCAGCGCCGGCCGGTGCACCCGGCCACCTGCGCCATAGCGAACAGATGGCGGGAAGGGGTTTCGGCAGGGACAATGCTCAACGTTCGTCGTGCAGGACACGACGATCAACTTTCCTCCGTGGCGCATCTCGCCAGTTCCAACGCATCCACTTCAGGAGAGTCCGACAATAAACAAAAAAAATGATGGAACATCAGACGGTGAGCTGTTGCTCCAAGGCCACACACGCCCATCCCTCCGACACCATATACAGATATACAGGGCTTCTGCGCAAACAACGGATCCTGGGGGCATGAATCGCTGCCGCCGTGATCATTCATCTAAAATATGCTGTTGTCCTTGTCGTTGCAGCCGCCAAAGCAAGATGCTTTTACTTGCCGCATCCGCAGGAGCCGTCGCCGCACTTGCAGCTGCTGCCGCACGAGCACTTGTCGCTGCGCAGCAAGCCGGTGAGAGCGGGTAATGGGAGATCGAGAAAAGCACTGTTAGTTTCAGAGAACCAAGGTGGGCGTAGCCTAAAATCAGACAAGGTAACACTACCCTCTCTCTCTCTCTCTCTTCCTTTCTCGTTTCTCTCAAAAGGTCGAAAATCAGTGAAGGAAGCACTGGCTGGCGCACAAAGCCGACGTCCCACGACTTGTGTACTGCCGGACATACTCTGTGTGACCAGAGATTCCGGCCTTCCTCGTGCTGTTATGGGTTGAGAACCACCAGAGGGATATTATCGACCGCGCCAAGGAAGTACCGCAAGAGGAACATGAGTACGATGCACTTCAGCAACGCCACAGCACCGAGTTGTTTGATTACGACATGAGCATCGCTCTGTGCAGCAAGGACCATGGCTGCAAAATAGTTGTTGAAACTCAGTGCAACTAAAGCAAACCCGTAGTAGGACAATCGTAATCTACGTCTTGACTGGAAAAGCCAGCCATTGAAAATCCATCAAGACTACGACCAACGTTCTCATGATTTTTCTAGGATCGAAATCAATGTCATGATTTCTCTAGGATCGAAATCAACGGATCCCTTTATCTTACCCGCACACGCAGCCAACAGCACGGGTCTTGCCGCAGGTGCAGTCGGAGTCGCCTGCATACGAAATCAAACGGACGTGTCCGCAGCAGCAGGAGTAGGAAGTAGGCAACCGAACGAAACGGAAGGAACGGGCAAGTGGGAAAACGGAGTCGGGGGGGGGGTCATCGTGAGCTTGAATGGTCGATCCTGGTCGGGGAGCAGCCGACCAACATAACACGAGGCTCATGAAATGCGTGCAGTAATATAGGCTGCTGTTTGGGGGCGTGCACGCCATGTTCGCGACAGTTCATGAGCTTTGCTTGTGTCGTATAATACGTTTTTTTTGTCGAGCACAAGGTTGTTTCCTCGAACCCGAATACTGGAAAGCACGTCGATGGAGTTTTGAGCGTACGGTGTGGTGTGAGGCCCACGTGTTCACGAATCAGGAACCGCCGCCGCAGAAGGGGGGGGGGTTATCCGAGGGCACGGAGATGACAAAAAAAATCGCAAGAGCATGACGCCTCGGGAAAACTAGCCCCCCGAAAAGTTTATATTTTTTACTTTGATTCTTATGCATACCACTACCAAGTACTACGCGTGTACAACGTTTTTCTTTTTATTGGACCGTTCGTATGTCCTCCCGCAATTTTTGGCGGGCGCTCCCGACGAAATCGCGCACGACAGTCACGCCGTCCGTTTCGAAATCACGAGGAAACGAGAAGTTGGCTTTATGAGATGCGCCCACGCTCTCTTTTGGTTTATATTCGTTTGACCACCCCGGGGCTTTCTCAAGAGGATACGAGAGAGAGAGAACATGAGACGAGAGGGAACAACGATGATTCAAGAGCTGTCTTGTTTATCCCGCGCAACGATACGAGCGAGTTTGGCATGAGGCAAGCCGACCGGAGAGCACACGACAGGAAACAAAATAATTTACCTTTGCGTTCATCAAGTGAGATTCAGTCAACACGTCGTCAAAAGACGACGGAACAGGGGGTCACGACTATCGATCGATGCATTGTTCGTAGAAGAGCACGAGGGTATGTGCATATGTACAGGAAGGAGGTGTGAGAAGCAATCGCTTCTTGTGGAACAGGGAACCAAGTTGGACTCGCATCTATTACTCCTTCCTACAGTACTAGCTGTATAGAACTGCGGTGAAAGTTATCAAATTACGGCGAGGTAAAATGTGTACTTCGGTTGTGTTTCACTCCGCCGCCTCAACGTGTTGGGGAAATACCGAGTGGTGGGCGCACTGCTCCCAAACCACGCCTCCGTTGGAGCGCGAGCAATCCATCGCGTCGGTCAATCCTGGCATGTTTGGAATATGAACATTCAATGCCGAGCCCTGGCACAGGCAAACACAGGTTCTTGCCCGTGTTGCACTTGCTTCGCCTGCATGAATGCAAATATATCTGCGCAGGTTCAGCATTAATTAACTACATAGATTGTACATATGATTGTATGTACGTATACCTGGCAAACACAGGTTCTTGCCCGTGTTGAAGTTTCTTTGCCTGCATGAACGCAAAATATATCTGCGCAGGTTCAGCAATTTAACTAAATAGTAACATATGCTTGTATGTACGTACACCTACGCTATGAACATGCATATGTATATACTGCACCAAGCCTCTGACCCTCTGAACCCAAGCGCCGGAACTTGCTCACAAGAAAAAATAAAATTTTGTGTCAGGGACAGGACCCACAACCCAGATGGCCAGCCTTATCACGATTAGGCCCTAGGAGGTTCCGGGACAGAATGCTTAGCCGACGGCGGTTTGGTGTGCAAATACAGAGGTACGTCAAACTCCCACTGCTGCGCAATACGGTACAGCAGTAATTTTTTCATGTATGCAATACAATACTGCGGTAGTAAAAATCGACGTCCACGAGACAAAACAGGAGGTGCGCGTCGTGCTTCTACTTTCGGCCGCGGAATAACGCGTCATAGAGACCTTTTTGGTGCATAGCTGACGTGGCACTCTACTATGGTAAGAAGCAGATGGCACTCTGTCTGGTACGCTTCTTCAAGTTCATTGGTGCAAGAAGTTCAACCGGCCAAGCAGCCCGGCCCCCCTGATGCTGTACCCTGTGTACTGCGGTTCGTCAGGCAGGGCAACCCGAGATCTTCGCGTGCGTAGGCGATTTAAATTTGTTGTTGCCTTCCCCGCTGAAGGGACCTCTAGCTAGCGTTTTCGCCACGCGATTCGCGTAGCGAACGGGGAAGTGCACCGCCCCGCCGGAGGGTAGCGCTTCATCTGAGATCCGTCAATGGTAATATGGCATGGCCTAGCCAGAAAACCGCCAGAAGGAAGAAGATACGAGGCACTTTGAACTTATGGGTACGCTCTACTGCTTGCTACTGTGGAGCTAGATCGACATCCGGGACGGAGGAACATGGGCGTGCAACACACTTACCGCAGCGGGAGCCCATGGTGTTAGCGTTGAAGAACATGGTGTGTTGAGATGCGAAGAGGGGAAGAGTCAGGGGGAAGAGTGAGAGTGTGATGAGGTGGGGAAGCGAGTGATGTGTGCGTGCGCGTCTGTCCGACTTTCTGCAACGTGTGCACTTTCATGGATGCGCCTGCAGCCTGCAGTAGCAATGGAAGCAAATCCTACCCACTTCGTCTGGAAACCAAAAGTCACTCGAAAGTCCACTTCGGAGGAACAAATGGTTGACGCGCATTTATTTGCGCACCTGCACCCAAATGTGAAGACAACAACCCCTTCCGGAACGACGAAGATAAGATATCTTTACAGCAGTAGCGCGGTATATCTTACTTCTATACTCTCACACCTGCCCCCGGCGACAGCCGCCAACCATGGCGATGACCAAGCGGACAGGTCTCTCTCTCTCTCTCTTTCCCCCCCCCCCCCCCCGGATCCTGCTGTATCTTGGCGTCTTGGGAGCGTGCGGGTCGGAAAAAATGAAAAATCTGGAAAAATGACGCGTCGTCTTTTCTTGCACGCCTGGGTTCATGCAAGTGCATGGATATACGTACTACAGGGAGGAAGAGAGACATATATATACTGCTGTACATGTATTGAATGCGTACATGATACATTTGTGGGAATAAAAATATGTGCTGTTCACAAAACCGGTGTCCCGACAAGCCATGTGCCAAGCAAGCTGCCCACTTTAATCGTCTACGCGCCTCCGAGAGAGAGAACACGAAAAATACTACGTACGCCTGGGACGTGGCGCAGTTCTTATATTTCTAACTGATAAGTCGACGGTACTACAGGAACTGTAGTATATAGATTATTTAGTATTATAGTCTATAGTATCGATCTTCGAGAATATGATGATGATGATGATGTCGTGGCGAAGCACACATTATTGTTCAACATGTCACTGATGTATCCTCTCCTCTTCTTCCGTGTGGGTGTAGCCTACGGCGACCCCAGGCTTCGTTCGGTGTTTGTCATCACAGAACAGGTTAACATTATTATTGTGCGGTTACACTGACTGGTATCCTATTTATTATTGTGTGCATTTGGCATGCATTCAGTGCAATTTCACGCTGGTACATGTATTTTTAGTTTCTTCAACTTTTCGGCAGTGAGTGAATGATGGTGCGCGATGCGCGATGTCTTGTGTACCACAGACTACCTGCTGCGTTTTTTTCCAAGGCAGAAATAAATGCAAGCATTTCGGACGGATGCACGTATGTATGTTGGCGTACACTCGAAAATAAACGGTGGTGTTCCAATTTTTTCTGGCTCAAAATGTTTGGTAGAGAGCCGAAAGCGGTGGTAGTACAGCAGCAGTAGTAGCGGACACGCATCGCTCCTTGACGAGAACAAACCTCCAGTCGTGGTCCCGGTTTAGCGGTTCATATGTTCACAAAATAAAATGTTGTAACCGCTATTGCAGTTCGGGTATTATTGCAGTTCGAGTACCCCAGAGGTGCAGCCATGCCACGAAATTTTCAGAAATTTTGGGACCGCTATTATTCAGGGCATCCCGCTAAAGAGGGAACCAACCGCTAAACCGGGACCACCACTGTATCCATCGCGTACGTCATGTTAGGGCAGTCAGGATCTCAGCCACACGTACCTCCTCTGTCCCGCGTGCCTCACACTCACTCCACTCGTCGTGTAATGTGACATGAAATTGCACCACCAGCAAGCACCCCGCAATACGGTGGCGACGATACCTCAAACAACGACGAAAATGCATCGGGAAGTGAAGAAGTACTACGCTTCGATAGCCTAGAAGTAGAAGTTCATAGGTCTTCCCGGTATGTATGTATGTGTTTCGTTTCAGTTTGAGGAGTACTATAGGGCGTGCCGGAAGAAGACGCCGTATTCTTGTTCATGCCAAACACGCCACAATGTGTGCCGCCACTAATAGCCGGAGGCCATACGCTTTCTTCATCCCCCGAATAATGAAGAGAAAAAACGTTGGTGCTATCGAAAATCACAATCAACCAATCATCGTGGCGGCCCTACCCCCCCTACTCTCTCCAGCAATAAAGTGTGGCGCATTGAACGGTGCCACACCAACAGCAAACCAACCGCCGGACGTCTAACATCAGTTACAGCAATCACGGATGACCCCCAACTTCTCCTCAGGTTGTCACAAACACGGTTGGTTCGTTCACCACGCGTGGCTCAAATGCCAACATACACCGTGCATAGACTATACATTTCCCAACCAACGTCGAAAATTCAAAATATAATCACTGCACTTCGCGAGCCAACAACTGCATCGCTAACTACTAACTGCTACGGCAACTGCTACTACTGCAGTTGGAGTGCCCTTCTTCCTTCTCGCCTACGCCACCCCCAGCCCACTCGCCACCCTCGGCCTGTCTGACATCGTGCTAAAAATGGTACCGTAGCTACTGAGGTAAATACATAACTTCAATCAAGCACATTTACAAGCACATATATATAAAGAGCTTCAGTCAAGCACATTTACAAAAGCGTTGTTGCGACATGTGTCCCGATCGTCGGCAGTGGAATATCTACCGAACGCCTTTTTGTTCGTTCGGTGGAGGCCCTGTGTACCACCACCGTCATCCCACCAACCTCTCGTGGACCGTGTCTTCTACTCTTTCGCTCATCAACAGCCAAAAGGCATCCTTTGCCATCCCCCTCGGACCACAAGGCCGCCGACGGGAGGGCGCTTGCGCCGTTGCCAACCTATCGCGTTTGCCCCCCGCTACATTGCTGGTATCGAGCACTGTCTTTACTCGGCGGAATGCCGTTGACACCCTGGACGGCGCCACGAAAAACACGAAAGAACAACACTTGTTGATGGAAACCGCCCCGCAATGCCCATCCCCGCGGACGCTCTCGGCGAAAAAAGCATGTCGAATGAGCGAAACGATTGCAGCAGCAACCAGGCTGACTTCATACCGACGTGTTTTTGGAAAGCTATAACTACCACACCCTTTTGGGCACCTACAAATCTCACCATAATAACAAGAACCCCGCCCGTCGACGAAACACGTCGATCGGGGGTGATCCTGGAGGCTGCCTGGCTTTCAAAATTAGCGCAGAAACACTGGCGCAGCTTTTGCGTTTACGTCAGAAACGAAGAAGAAAAAGTGTTCTACAGTACCGTACACTTCACGTGGGTCTCCTTTGATAAATAAATCCAGGCGTCTACAGTAGCACCTTGCAACGAATGGTGACACGAAATACAAACCGAAAGCGTGATGGGCGCGGTCCTCGTATTTGTCTCGAGAGCCCTCCGGTCAGTGTTGGCCACCTTTTATCGGGGGCGAAACATGGGTACTACGGTAGGACAGCAGTTCACACAACCCTGGGCAATCTAATCGGCACGAGACCTTTCGGAACTATCCCCACCCTCCCCTCCTCACAATGACGCCGCAGCCGAAGAAAAAAGATACAAGCCCCCGTGCTTTTAGCCTTATGCCAGCTCTCACCTTCCGTCCCGGTACCCCTCACACCCGGGATAAAGTAGAACAACTACAAACAAATAATAGTCCCCAAAGGTGTGTGCGGTGTCTATATACAACTAAAAAAAAACGATTTCCCGGTACAGCAGTGCCACCGGCGGCCTCGAGAAACAGGCCCGGAAGGGGTTCTTTGAAACCGCCCGTCATGTCTGCCATCGTCTCATGCACATGGGTGTACATTATCCTCGGCGCAAACCTGTAACCACCAATGCTGTTGTGTAATCGCCAAAACACCATGTCCACTGCATCTACCTTTCTAGAACCATCAACGCAATAAACGGGTGAGACTCACGTCCGCTGTTAGCGCAGCATCAGCCCGCAGCGGCCAGAGGCCGCCCCCCCTGCCGCCGCTGCCAAACGCGACAGCCATCAGCCTCGCCGGATCCACCGGGGCCAGGTACGTGGAAAGCTTCTCCGGCTGGGTGTTGAGGTGGTCCGGATCCAAGGGCAAGGCTCCCCAACAAATGGCCTTCTTGCTCCCGCCCTGGGTATGTCCATTTGTCGAAAGGGGTGTATGAATATGTGGCGTTAGAAGGTAAGAGGCTGTTGCCAACTGCGTCGTCGTGATCGGGTCGTAATACACGCAAAGTGATTTTCCCTTTGTGTGCGTGTACGAGTGCTACCGATGACGGCCGAGTCTTTGGTTGTTTTTTGTTGTCCTGTGTTATTCTCCATGAGCTATGCATATCTCCTTGGAGTAGAACTGGAACGACCAGGTTACGCGTGTGGCCAAAGTGGGTTTGTGCGTCCGAAAGGGGAGGGTGTATGACACCGAGGGCGAGAAAAACAGGAATTAGTGCTTCTCTCGCCGTTGAGCTGTTCTGCTACTTTAGTGTGGTCGATCGGTGGCATCACGCGGCCCCTGCCCGGCGACTAGCTTGCGCACTTTTTTTCCCACGGCGAAGGCCATCAACGTCAGGGAGGGGTAGGGGAGTCAACAAAGAACCGCTCGAAAGGGCGTGCCGATGCATGGCCTTTTCCTTCTCGAGCCCCGCACCTGGATATCCCGCAGCTCGAACACCATGGAGCTTCCGGGCCCCAAGGTTTCCAAGGGGGTTTGCATGTGCCATGTGCGTCCCCACCACAGGTACATCGAAGAAAAAAGCGTGGGCGAGTCGAACTCCTGCGGCGAGAACAGAAGTTTTCCGTACCATCATGAAGCCGCTACAGCAGTACCGTGTGTGCTTTGAACGTTTGCAATCGACAGCAAAGCGGAAATAGAACGGCGGGGGCCTGAGCGTAGCGTGACGCGTAAAGGCCTTTGACAAGTTGCGGGCATCAACTCTGGCCGTTAGATGCGTTTCTTTCGTGTCGATAACGTGAACTTCAACACGCCCTTAGGCTGAAGATGACACGGCATCAATTTCGCCGTTCGAAACATCGAGGATCATCGCAAAACACGTCGTGTGGTATCCTGTACTTGCGCGCCTCGACTACAAAAAGAATGTCGAACTTGTGCTAGCTCGATTGAAGTCACGTACAAATGTGACGTTACAGCCCCCCCTTATCGCCGGGACGTATAACTGTGTTGCACGCAAAGTTGTGTGCGACGTCTCCTACAGCGTCGCCCCACCTGCGCTGACTCGACGAGCTTCCCCTTCGCGCTGAAAACCGACACAGTGAGGGTGGGCTTCCCGATGTCCGCGGCGGAAGCCACGACCAGCGTCTCTAGGAAAACCGAGATGTATGTGAAGCCCAGAAGCTTAGCCGGGGCCGGGTGCACCCACGATGTGCCGCCAGCGTCGGCGGCCGAATCCCCGACCGTTAGCTTTGGGGCGATGGCGGCGACGAGTGCCCCGTCCCTCAGACGCTGCCACACCTGAATATCGCGGAGTGAGGTTCGCGAAGGTTACCAGTGAAGCGAAAGTATGGCACGCATTGCTGCTGTTGTTCGTTCACCTTTCTGGCGTTGCGTTTTTAGTTGTCGTCGAGTTTGGGATCGAAGGGCTCACAACTTTTGATTGACAGATTTGGTGCGTGTTCACGCTGGGTGTGCCGAACAGAACCCGTGTAGTCCGCCGGGTACGACGTGTTCGTCTGCGGGAGAGGCCTTCCAACCCAGCCTTGGAGGACGTACTGCGCTAAAGCTCTGCACCATAGCGACGCCGCATACAGTGATTGATTCGCGCCGACCTCGGCCGGGGTATTGAAAACAATCTCACACACGACACGTTCCTGATTGACAATGGAACAAACAACAGGATGACCGTAGCAAACCCACCTCGTCGTTATCCGATGCAAGGTCCAACGGCGTCTTCCAGTCCGTCTTGCGAGGAAGGTTGACGCTGCCGTACCCCTTCTGGAGTGCTAGCGCTGCGTCGACATTATTTGCCCTCATGACGCAGTGCATCGGGGTTTCCCCTTGCTCGTCGCAGGCGTTTGGATTCGCACCGTTCTCAAGCAGCCAGGTGGCGACTCGCTGTGGTGGGGGGATAGACGGGAACATGCCATGGGGGGTGCTCTTTTGTGAAGGTGGGCCTGTTCCCTCAAGAAACATCACATGTGGATCCCCCTTTGTGGCGTCAAAGTCGGTAGCCTGCCTCGACAACGCTTGCCCTTGTCGGCGAAGATGAGGGGGCCCAACCAGCTCTGGCGCTTCCCAAGGGGTTTGCCTAATTCTACGTCTCGAGTCACACATCAGGACGGCATCGAAAGTGCTGGAGCAACGTGCGGTCAACAAACCACACCACACATTAACGTGGTTCGAGCTTGCTTCATATTTTGCAGAATACCTTTGTCATCGAAACGTCTGGAGCAGCTTGCGTCCACAAACACACAATATCTCAAGCTTCGAACGTGCTTCATTTATTGCAAAATACCTTTTTCAGGCGTGATATCCTGTGACAACGGAGCCTAACTGAAAAGGTAGGACTGAGAGAAGCACTGGACAGACGTCGGTCTAAAAGGCTGCCTCATTTCAACCACGAGAGGACATCGATCCTTGTAACGGTTCCACCCATGCCTTTGCCCCTTCGCACCTGTACTGCGATGCCGACCTCGCGCTTGTCACAGCCGCTGTCGCTTTCTCTTCTGTCTCCCATTCCCGTGCGGCCCGCGAACGCAACCGCAAGGTGGAGAGGAGTTTCGCCGAGGTTGTTCGTGGCCCGAACCAGGCGCTCACGCGTGCCCTGATGCAGGTACTCCATCGGCAATCTGTGGAAAAAATTCGGGTGTCCTCGGGGGTTGGGTGGCTTCGTGATGTCGATAGCACCGTGGAAAAAATTTCTAAGGATGAATAAAACGTAAAAAAGGAAATGGCTGACCAAGCGCACCAACCAACAGGATGGGGAGGGAGAGGCACCACTATTTTCGAGGTGCTTGAACAAGGCGTGTTTTCCCTGTTGTTGCACTTGTGGAGACTTGAGAGCGCTTGTACGTGATTGTGCAGCACCTGGCCCACTGGTACTGTACGTGGCCCCAAACATGGTCGAGTCGTGCACGGACTCCAGTTCACCATGTCCTACGAGCCCACTCCAGAACCTCCAAGACGTGCTGGCGTTGTGCACTCAACATTGGCCATGTCCGTCTAGCCCCCACTCACTGTCTCTTTTCGTTCTTGAAGTCGTAGAACTTGACCAGAGCTCTGAGGGCCAGCAGCCACTGCTGAAGCTCCACCTCGTTGCTTGCCTGGAAGTATAATCGGCCCTGCACGCAAAGTGGATGCACGGAAACCCCCAAACCGAAAAACGAGAAACGAAGACGATGACTCGGGCGGAGAACGTCACAGGAACTGGGTCGCTGGTGATGGTTTGACTTGAGTTTGGAGTAAGGGAGACACGCGTTGGACTTGCATCGGGAGAGAGGTAGCTGTCTGTGTGCCGGTAAGGATTGTTTTTAACGGGGGGTGCCCGTAAAACAGTGGCAGTGTCCCTGACATTCGCCTTTTTCCTGTTTCGGAATCGACGAAACGCAGAGAAACCGAAGTTGGAAAAGCTCCCTACCTCTGTGTTCCTGCCCTCCATCATGAGAGGGGAGTGCAGCTCGAACGCGCAGTCGAGGTCGTCGGACTTTTTCAAAAGGCAGTGGTCCAGCATGATGATCTGTTCGGGAAGCCGGAGGGAAGAGAAAGTGGTGGTGGAATTGGTGGCGGCGAATGGGGGTTGGATGCAACAAATCGACGCAACTCGACGAAATCACCAACCAAGGAAAACCTGCGCGTGGCACGTTCAAAGATGCTCGTACGCCTGCAGCACCACCGCTACATAGGTTCTAACACTCTCTGACGACCGCCGCACTCTTCGACGGCTACAACGTCTTCTACCTTGGAAGGGAGGGCGTCCGCCTTCTTCTTGAAGTAGAAGAGGGCCGGGCCCGTGTGTCCGGCTTCTCCTGCAGGCGGCGCGAAACGCTTGAGCTGGCACCACCGCTTGAGCCACCGATCGGTCTCCCTGCAGGAACCGAAAATAATCAGGGTTCGAAAAGGCACCACAAAACTCGATAGGTTTAACAAACACGAAACTCGATAGGTTTGATAAACTAGGTGATACACCTAACATCGTGTAGGAGCTGCGTGGGAACGTCAAGCGAAGGGTTACGACTCTGCAGACATGGGGCTGATTTTGGGTGACACGAGAGTACACGCTGCGATGATAGTAAATGATGGTTTCGCCAATTGTCGACGGGAACACGTTTGTTGAAGCATCTGAGGAGAGAATGTGTTTGACGAATAAATCTGATGCGAAGTGGCTCAACGACAACTTCGGTCCACGTACGTTTTTCGTCTTCTTGAACAACAAAGCACATGTTTACATAGCCCAAGCCTCTGCACCGATTGTTTCCTCTTCGTCGTCCACAGATGCTAACACATCATCTCACAAATAACGCCGCGCCTGAAGTCGTTGTACCCGCCTACCTCCTCTTCTTCAGGAAACCCTCCACCATCGGCTGCCCCCCCTCCCATGACTCCATCCTCAGCGACTCCAACCTCAGCGTCGCCAACCTCTGCTCTTCGCCACGACCGAAATTCCCCTCCTTCCCTTGCCCGTCCCCGATCGCTCCTAGGCCCTCCTGGTGTCTCGCGCGAAACGGGGGCACCGCGGCTTCGGCGAGCCTCAGCCTTCGGACCATGCCGGCAGCAAGGATGAACGCCTCCTTCGACATGCCGAGGGGGAATGTCGCCGGCCGGGGGGCGGGTTGCCCTCTCGCCGCCGCGCGAACCGCCTGGGTTACCATGGGAGAGGGCAGAGCAGAAAAAAATAATTCGAGTATTGTACGCATGTTGTTGGTGCACATGTAGCGTTTGGTGTGCGCCGCCTGCTCTGTCGATGCGTAGGGGTAGCAGTTCGACCGCAGTACTATGCATAGCAACCCTCGCAGCGTATTGAGGCATCCTCTGAGCAGCGAGAGAGAGCCGCGTCGCCGCCCTCTGTTGCGATGATTTCCGGGAGATGATGCTACGAGCAGAGCAAATCGGAGCCAATCGGTGTCGCGTCCATTGCGCGTCGGGACGCTCACCGGTGTTCTCGAGTTGATTCTCAGATAAAATACGTTGACAACCAACATGTTTACGCTGCATCCCCAAACGGAGATGAGAATTGCTGTGCACTTGTTCATCGCATAATAGCGCGTTCTCAAAACTGACAAATACATGACACCCAAAGCGAAAACAACACGCTCCTCGAACGGGTAGTCTTTCCTTGTCTTTTGATTGCATGTTGGGTACCTTTCTGACTTCCAGGTTCGCCCGATGAGCCAAGAACTTGAGCAGGTCGTAGTTGCACTCTGCGGCGGCGACGTGTACGGCGGTGTTGCCCCAGCGGTCCTTGTCGGTGATCTCGGACAAGAACGGCTCCAAGAGGGCGACCACTTCAATGGCACCCCCCTGAAAGAGGTCAAAGAAGCAAAACCAAACGAATAAATCGCACAATCAACGAACGCCTTGGTGGGACAGGTTTTTCGACAAAGCCACTCCTCCCAATGAGTCTCGCTCTCGTTGAAAGCTGCCCGATAGGGCAGTCGCAGAATGGCATTCGCGGGTTCGTATAGCTCGATGGTCTCGTATAGCTCGATGGTCTATGGGACGGACAGGTCAAAATAAACACGCCCTTGGAACCTAGCGCTGCAAGAGGAGGCAACAAGAGAGCTACATGGCTTCACAAATATCTCCCGCCTGTACGTCACAGCAACGACAACAACAACAACAGCACCTGGCAGGCGGCGTGCAGCAACGTAGAATAGCTGGGAACCCTTTTCTCTGCTCCTCCCTCCGCCATCCCGGCGTGAGCATCACCATCATGTCGATCGCGCAGAAACAACAGAGCCGGCCATTCGCTCAAGTGCCTGGAATCGGGGGGAATCGCGTGTTCGGCATTGGTACATCTGGGGGAAGAACACGTGGCGATAGGCTCTGTTTCGAAGGCAGCACTGGCAACAAAGGCGATTGCCTGTGTGGCTGAACAGATTCTCCCTACACATTTTCATCGAGATTGTCTATACACTCATGACGCCGACAACGATTGGTGACGATAGCTGTTGCAGGCTTCAATGCGCACCGTGCAACGGTAGGAACGTCTCCCGACCGCGCGGCCTGGAAGACCTGGATAGACGCGTCTCGAAGGCGCCTGTTCCTCAGGAAGGCCCGAAGGCTCCTTTGCGCCCGGCAAGCCATCGCCTCCTCCTGAAGGTACTCCTCCCGCAAGGCCCACACTCTGGTTTGGGCCTTGATGTAGCAGCAGCGGACGGGGAACGACGTCAGAATGGCGTTCGGTTGAACAGGCGGTTGAGGGTTGTACGTGAGGTATCAATCACCGCGTGTTTGGCAGCAACACACCGTTGGCAGCGCGCCGGTGCGGTTACGGCGACATTTCTGCATCTGCTCGTGTAACCCAACGTTTTCTAGCGTACACAACGACCGAAGGGTGTTTCGATATGACTACCGAAGGGTGTTTCGGTATTACTTTCCCTTGGTAGTACATATAGCAAAATCTCCAGCTGCCACAAACAGGAGGTTGTCCAACAGGTCGATGACGCCCCCTTCGATACAAGAAAATCCTTCTGTTTGGATCTCAAACTCCGAAACGTCTGAATTTACCAGGGGCAGACAACCCTTGCGACTACACCGTCAGGCAACATCTTTACTGACCCGTTGTCGGTTGGCCCTGCGACACGAGAGTGCGCGGGCAAGGACTCTAGCCACCTATGCATACAGAGCTTGTACGCATCTACCGAGCAAAGCTGCTTTTCTTTGCAAGAGGTTTGGTATTGTAGACATGACCGCGAAAAGTAACCGCTCTCGACAACACCCGATTTACGTCTTGGCGGCTTTAATTTAATGAATACGCGCCAGGTCCTCCAGAAAAGGACTTGATATTTCGAGTAGGTCATTTCCACATGCAACCACCGCCCACAACGTCACTTCTGAAACGATTTGAAATCGTCCGATATACGAAGGCCGTTTCCACATGCAACCACCTCCCACAATGTCACTTCTGAACCGATTTGAAACCGCAAGGCAAACCGTTTCGCCCGGATACATTTTAGGAAGATCCACGTTATCCACACCTGGCGCTCTTTCGCCCTCCGTCGCGCCCCGTACAAACGTTCAGACTTCCCGCGCCAGACAGCCTTTACATGGAATACGGGTAGGGGCGAGGGGAAAAAAAAAGGTTGGTTAACGGCACGGGATGGAGGTCACGTGGAAAAGTCCTCAGATGTATCTATAGCCCGGACAGTGAATCTGCGTCAATCTAGGCAAGGAGGGGAGGTTATCGTTTTTCGTTCGCTCTCCCTGCCTTTCGCTCTCGTTTCAATGGACAGGTCAACGTTACGAACGGGATGCTTGACTTGCGCAGAAGGTCGGGAAAGTGGGTCCACTCAACACCAGACGCAGCACCATGAGCAACCCAGAGCCATCAAAGGCGACAACAAACGTAACCAACAATAACAGAAAAAATGCAACGTCATCATCACCACAGCCAATAACAAAGACGTCGATCATAAATCAAGCGCAATAATCGCCAAACAATCACAACAAGCAACACTTACCGCGATGCGAGTAGAGGCCGTTTCTTCTCTCACTCTCTTTCTCTTTCTTAGGATGGCTACCTCCTTTCGGGCGGCCTTGGCTCTGCATGCTGCCTGCGACACACGACCACAAGAAGCTGGGTTACTTCAGAGACGGTATGCCTTCAGAGACTCAGCTTACGCCCGCGTCAGGGCGACAAGTTTCTGCCTGAGGTAGACCCGACGTGTCTACTACTGTCTCCCGTCTCAGATAATTTTCCGTGCCAACGACAGCAATAAATATGTGTTCCGCCTCTAAGCTTGTCCGTCCGCGATTGACGTCATTGTTGTCGGTGAAAAGGCGTTCGTGTTGGGACAGGCGGCGTCTACCCCCCGGGGAAAGTCGTTGCGAAACGAAAGCGGGACACCAGCAAATACCAACACCAACAACGTTTTGTGCCCTGCCGAAAGCGAGACGATCCATCCGCACCAGGATCTTCGAGACATGGAATACAATATTCCCGTACGATTTTTTCTTCGTTTCCACCCCGCCCCCCAGATCTTGGAGAAACCCTTGCTACTGCCATGACCGGGGGCGGCAAAGAGTAGAAGAATAACGCCAACTAAACGGTCGCCTCAGGCCCAAAGGGAGGAAGGTAAATCATCATGCCGCGAGCCATCCTACAAGTCTCTCAGCCTCGGTTCTACGCGGTGTGGTAGTGGCAAGGACTAGGACAAGGGGGCCGCCCGTCGCTTCCGTTTACGCCAACCTGCAACGCCACGATGCTCTTGCGGTATTTTTGGCAACGGCCCCGCGCCTGAACCCCCCTAACCATCGCGGAGACCATGACCTGGAGGGTGGCGGCCGCCTCCATCCTCTCTCGCCTCTTCCTCGTGACGAAGCCCCTGGCCACCGCTTGCAGACGAGTGGCGTTAGCTTCCCTGCAATCAGCGGGGTGAGCAGCACCGTTTGAGTGATGGGAAGGGGGGGACCACATGTGCTGTTGTCGTCTGTGTACCTTTCTTTGTACTCTTCGCGCCCCCCCAACCATATCCAGCGCTACGAAACACATGTCGTACCTCTCTCCTCTCTCTCTCTCTCTCGATCTAGGCAGAGCTCTCCTCCAGCACAGCGTCGTGACACTTCCCAATACTACAGTCAAAATGGTCATCCCGACGGACGCTCCCCGGCCAACCCCAATATAGAAACCGCGCTTTCGTGCCTCTTTAATATCCATTCCACAACTGCCGTTTGTACCTCTTTCACCGTTCCCCCAACTGCTCTGCCTCCAGACTCGAGGAGACTAGTAACGACTGTCCCTTCCCTCTGTCCTTCCCACCGGCTGAGGTCCTCCCACCTCTTTCGCCATTCCCTCTGTCTCCATCCTCGCCATGTTGCTTGCATCTTCACGACCGACACCTGCTGCCGGGCGACGAGTGCTCTCGCCTGCTGCATCCTGGCCAATGCCTGTATCGCCTTGGCCGCCCGCTGGGCTTCCCGGTATCTGTCCGCGTTAAGCAGCAGCAACAGCAGCAGCAGCCGCAGCAGCAGCAGCACCGGCAGCACGAAAACACCGATGACGACAGCATCACGGTCACTGGCAACACGACCAATGACAATGGCGACACCAATACTCGCAATGAAAAAAACGGATGACAACAACTTACGTGGGGGAACTGACACATTGGCAAAACATACTCGGAAACAGCAGGAACGGGCCACGAGGAGCTTGCAACACCCCCCTGTGAACAAGTGGCAAGCACGCTGCCCACGGGCAACGGGCATCGCCTACAGCGAAACGCCTACAGCGAATAGCAGGGGCTAGCGGTGTGCGCGCGACCTTGCCGACAAGAGCAACGGGTGACAGGTGAACGATGTGTGCTGCTTTGGACCTGGACCCTCTCTTAAGCTTGCTTTCTAGGCCAAACCTTTCGGAACAACTATGTTCCGCAGACAGGGCCATTGGGCGAGACTGGTAAACACTTACTTTGAACTGGGCGTTCCTTCTCTGTCGATGGCCTCTGTGCATGTGGTGAAAACAAAATCCTGGATCATGACGTCCTCCAGGCTTGCAACAGCACAGACCCCCCAACCACTTTCCATTCGACAACCATACCCTTGACTCTACTTTGGCAGCTCGGCGGCGGCGACAACGATAGCCTGTGACTACCGACCACCTGCAACATGATGACGTCACTATGTCCCTCGACAGCCGGGGGACCACGAAAATACCTCCTCCTGGCCATGTTGCCCCGGGCAAGCTTCTGCAGCTTCTTGGCCGCTTCCCTCTGCCTCGCAATCTTCGCTCTTGCTAGCGAACCCCTCCACAGGGCCTGGATCTTGCTGGCGATGGTGAAGTAGTGCAGCCTCAGCGCCGCCCTCAAGCGCTTTAGGCCGTCGTCCCTGTCGAGATACGGTCGGTGGAGCGGAGAGCACGTGCGCCCGGGGGGTACTCAATGTTGTCATGGCTGCAGTTTAGTACTGTCGATGTGGCTTGGTTAGGACAGCCTTGCCGTGCCCATTCTGAGAAAATCGTTCTTGATGCCGGCGTTCGCCGTCTCAAGTGGCAAAAGAGCACAAGAATGCCACGCGTGTGGGGCTTGGGGACGCGTGGGGACGCGCTTCTGTTGCTTGTCTCAGTTCGTTGAGCTATCGATTCCGCACGTACGTTGAGAATCACGATTCCTTTTCGTCGCCTCTGACGATGAGGGTATGCATATGTGGTGGAGTTCGCCTATAGAAAGAGTCAATTCTTCCGGAGAATATTGGTCATCATCAAAGTTACCCACGAAACAATTTTGTTGTCGTTGTCGTTGTCGTTGTCTTCACATCAAACAAAAGTACAGTTTTACCTCAGATGACCCCAAACTTTACCTGAGGAATACTTTGGTCTTGCCCATCTGGAAAGACGAGCCGGCCTCTTTCTCCCCGAACACTGCCTTACAGACGCCGAGACCCACTTCTCTGGCCTGGAAGAGCGGACACGAGCACGGACACACCGTACATCAGGTTATCAGACGGGGACAAGTGTTTGTTGTCCCCCTTGCGCGTTACGGTTTGCGTGCGCGTCGTCGGTGCCAACCGAACGGCTTCAAGACGATAACATACGGAGAACGGCTTGCTCTACTCCTACACGCAAACTGCGGCTGCTACGACGGTCTCGAACCCACGACTTTTGTGTCTAGCAGCAGCGTCAGCGCTGACTGGTCCAATGATTCGATTTCGCGGACTAGTTTACTGATTTGATATCGGTTGCTATGTACAATAAAGTATGTGCCACCGAATACGACGGAGTATTGCGCGTCCATCGAACCGACCCGCGGTTGCGCGTCTGGGATAGAAGAGACCGCTTGACACTACTTGAACCCAGGCGGAGGTGGGGAACTACGGCAGAAAGAGGATGGGCCAACACAAGAAGTCGGCAGGCACGTGCCCTACCTTCGCGGAAGTGACGTCATCGGCGGTAGGCATGTCCTTGGAGACCAGGAGGGTTCCGAAGCGGCGGTAGAACTGCTTGTAGGTGACCCTCATAGGGAAAGCCTCCCGACGAATGCGGACGACCTGTCAAGGCGTTGTGCGAGCGGGAGGCCGGGGCGTTGTTGCCACTCTTTCGTTTGCTTGTCGTAGGCGTACCCGGTGGGGAGACGCAAGAAGGCAGGTCCTCATGGGCTAAACCGCACACAGAAGGAAATAGTGGGAGGTGTTCTACCGGCAGGGATCAACCGGTTTGCCGGCCGCAAGGCGCGCCAGGCGCGGTCTCCTTACGCCCTTTCCCGAACTTGACGCGTTTTGGAAAACAAAACCCGATCTCGAATCTACTGTGACCTGTTGGTACTTGGAAGAGAACGATGCACACAGTCAGATGATTACCTCGATCCTGAGGTAAATCTTAATCGCTCCAAGCAAGAGCCGCAGCGTTCAGATTAACGCGAGGAGCTCACCTCAAGGACCCCTGAGTATCGGAGCTGCTCGATGACGAGGGAACTCGTCCAACCCCCCGGGGCTTTGTCGGAGTTGGGCTTGATGCACTTGATGTAGTGCGGTTCTGTCTCCCTTAACTGGGCGACGAGGTCGTCCAGTTGGCTGACAAAAATTGTTGAAAGAACGCCGTGAACATTGTTGGACCGAACGAAAACACACGACAACACAGTCAGTGGTGGGGAGGTAGACTACCAGAGCGGCTCACTCACTGCTGAAGAATTGGTTCGCACCTGAATGTTACCAATCGAGGTGCTTGAAAAAAAGGCGTGGTAGGTAGACGGTCGTGATTCCAGGCGCTCAACATTGCACCTGAGAAAAAATATTTTTTGGTGACATGACATGACACGTTGAACTCTTCAAAGGACCAAGGAAACTCCCCACTCGCTGGCATCGACACCTGCGATTACACCGTCGTAAGTTGGAAATGATGTCTACCCTACCTACTGCACACACCTTCGGAACGCGTTCGACACGGTGGACTTGGCTGCAATCCTCGCAAACGCCGCCTTCTTGCCCATCCCCCCCCTCCGCCCGCCACCACTGCCGCCGCCCTCTTCAGCAGGCAAGACTCCGGAGCCGCCGCCGCCGCCGCCGCCGCCGCCGCCGGACGCGAACATGGCCCTCTTTGAGACAGCCGTGGAGTTAGCAAAGGGGACAGAGCGATCTCCAACGCCAGGCGTCTGGCGACCGTGCAAGCGTTGGCCAGTGTTCACCTTGCCGTTGGGGCCGTTGGACACGCCGCCGTGGGCGGGGGTGTTGGACGTGATCGGGTCGTTGTCGTTGGCGTGGTCTTCGTCGGCGGTGCTGGTGCCCTGAGCCTTGTTAAACACGCCGTTCTCGCCAAGGATAAGCTTCTCAGCAACATCAGGAAGACGATAGCAAAAACGGGGGGGTTGGAGACGAACTGGTGCTTGATACCGGAACGGGCTTGACTGAAGCATTCCGCCCTTGCCACGGAGTACTACTATTGCGGCGAGGTATCATTGTTTCGTTCAATTAGACATACCGCGACGCGGCTGCAAGTACAGTTTTGAGGCGAGCTACCAGCACCATCACCATGTCTGTAGTCGAGTATTCTTCCCCAAGGGTCGACACGGTTGCACGTGTTTTGACAAGATATGGCAAACACTCTATTCTCATTTGAACAACCAGCACCAGTTCTTATTCTATGCCGAGACAAGGTCATAGGGGCTCCCACACAGGGAACAAAATCCGTTTGGTTCTGGCCCTACCAGGGGTGGCCAGAGGACATGACGTAGGCTGGTGATGGTAATTCTGGTGATGTGCAAAACGCTGATAGGAGGGGCATCTACCTGTCGGAGGAAGGGGATTCGGCTGGAAAGGAGCAGCCCCCTCAGATCCTCCTGCAGGGTGTCGTTGTTTTTCTCGAGGAAACCCGTCGCGGTGTATGTCACCTGGACAAGAATATGGCGGACATATCCAAGTCATGGTGGGAGCGTACAAGAAAGAACTGAGTTTCGTGAAGGTAGGTGTGCCTACGCTCAAAATCATCTCCGGGCGGATCTGTCTTGGGTAGCCCCGTCCAACCCAGGCGTCACCAAGTCGGGGCGACAAGTTTAGCATTTTTACGTTGCTCATGTACTCCCATTCCGCGTGCAGGTGTCATTTCATACGTGTGGCATTTTGGAGTCGCTCTCGCACGAAAGACGACAAGCTGGGATCAAAAAGGCTGCTGTGCAACAGTGACCCATGCCCGAGTGTAACTTGCCGCAACTACGCATTCCAATGGAGCGCGTTCGGGCGACGTTTCTTGAGCGTGGTTGCTCTTCTCTCTCCCGTCAAAGTGAAAAAAGCACAATGTATGGAGGCAGAATTATCCCTTCACCGAAAACAACCTCCATGGCGATCAGAACTACACCAAATTTACCGAACCGTCTCGGCTCTCACGTTTCCTGCGTAGTGCATGATGACGAACTCCGGTCCGTCGAAGCGAGGTTTTCTGTAGCACGGGTGGGGGGCCTTTCTGTGGTGCTGCTGGTGGAAGAGGTCCAGCAGGTTCTTGTCGGTGAAGGAGGATGTAATCGACGCCGCCTTTCTCCCGGTCAAGGCCTGTTGGTGGCAGTGGGCAGTGATGGTGTTGCAACTGGACTGATGTCTAACTTCGTTGGTAGTCGTGCAAGCATTGTACTTGTATGTAAAAACAGAGTCGTGCACGGCTGGGAGCGTGCATCCGTACCAGATAAAAACTGCTGTTGTTATCGCCGGTGTTTGGTAGGCCGCGTGAGATAGGTACATCGGCGGCACCCAAGAAGCACCAAACATGCAGACGCACGTATATCTGAAACCGTTGAACGGGTAGCTGCACCTCCGTCAGGGTATGGCAGAACCTTCCGCCACGAGAAATTATTGGACAACTACACACACAGGTGCAGGTACGGACGGGCGCGCTGCTGTATCAATCTCAGCCACACACAAGGAGCATCTTGCCTGGTCTTCGAGGATCGGCATGAGACCCGCCGGCCTCTTGGCGATGAGGTCAATGATTTTCTGGTTGTCGCGGAAAGGGATTGACCCCACATCCAGACCCTCCTCACCGTATTCTTCCTGGAAACAGTCGTGAATGCACACACAGCAATGGTGTTAATGGGGACAGAAGGGTAAAATACAATTCGAAGGCACGAACAAGAACCCTGGCGGCTTTCAAGACTATTCAGGCGACTTTCTGCGAAATCTGTGTCTTGTGATGAATACGTCTTGATGCAGATCCACTGCCATTGTTGCTGATACATACGCGGGGATGACTCCTGCTCTAGATCATCGCGTGGTAACCCGGCGACAAGCTGTGCACAATCTAACCGTGTTTTCTTGCCTGCTCCAGCACGAAGATGTGGTGGTTGAACTGCCGCTGCAAGACCTCGTTGGCGAAGTTGATGCACAGCTGCTCGAAGCTGTTCGTCGCCATGATCTCGAAACCTGTTGTACAGGACAAGCGCACTAGCATATTCAGCGTCGGTTTCAGATGCCACAAGGGATCGAAAAGAGCCGTTCTGAACTCCTAGCATGGGGTGGTCATTGAAACCATTCTAGTGGGTATCCTGGTGCCATAAATCTATTAGCGTGGTACACATGTCATTTATCTGGGGCTGTCCGTCGACAGTAGTCTGTACTTGTACAGAGCTTCTCTCTTGCAACAATCCATATTTAACATAAGCAACAAATGGCGGCAGCAGTACCTCCTAGCCTCACCGAAAATATCGAGGATGCCGATGAACGTCCTCTTGGCCCCAGCCCCTGCTTCGCCCACCGCTTTCTTCGGGGCGTCAAAGACCACGTTGATCTTCCAGTTGATCCAAGCGAATAGCTGGCGGTACATGTGCTTCAGCAAGGCGAGAAGATTCTCTTTCGCCTAGGGGATAGACACGAACATCGTGTTGGCGAGGGGGAGAGCTTTGGCACCTTCTTAGCCGTGGTCGCAGCTTGTCCGAGGAGAGCGACAACGTGCTCTGGAGCAGTCTGACCCCCGGTTCATTTGGGTTTCGGACTCGGGATCTAGGTACCCTAGACGTAAGACCACGAAAAGTAGTGGACGATACCGAAACGATATCCTTCCAGTGCATCGTGAAGAAGAGGAGCATCACAATATCGTTCTGAAAGAGACATGCGACCAATGAAGTACGCACCTGAGCAGCGTTAAGCGCGACGGATGCGCTGGTTCCTCCGGCGGTTACCGTCCTCCTCATCACGCCTTCCTCGAACACCTCCTCGTCCACTCCCCAAAGGGCCGCCAGGTTGGCCGGGGATATGCTCGTACAGCGCCCGACTTTGGAGATGCGGCACTGCTCCTTGCCGGAGACGTCCTCGAAACTTCAACGGAATACAGAGAATGCGGCGAGATCACGACAACCAAGCGTGAATATCTTCGCGACTGTTGGACGCAAACACGGATTCATAATCGGGGAACGCTGATTTTTGATCCAAAGGTGGTATCGTTCTTGAGGGGATTTGACGCCAACCCTGTCGCCAGCAATCGCAACCAAAGCCTAACCTTGATTTTCACGACAGTAGCACGATATTGCCTCAGTCTTATACGTCGGTAGCAACCCGTAAGCTCAAGGTTGCTGCTGCGGCAGAAACGTTCAATTTGGAGAGACTTGGGGGTGCGGTTCACGACAAAGCAGCCTGCAGCCGCCTTCGTTGCAACGGTCAAAGCGTATGTCACCAGTACCTGACTTCGCCGCTGTGCAAGATAGCCGCGAGCAGCCGCCACATATCTGTCTTGTCGTTGGCGGTAAAGTCGAGCGAGGATAACGCCTTGTCCACGGCATGGAACTCCTCGTGGTCATCCACATCGTCCTAACGACCGCAAGAAAAAACAACGGATCACACAAAACCCATCGCTCCAACAGGTAGAAAATTTGCAACGAGCGCGCAACACAGTTGCTACGCACAAAAGTTTCCTTGCAATCGCAACCTATGCAAGAGATGCCGCAATGGTTGTGGTCGTTGTCCACACGTCTTAGGTTCATAAGAGCAGGATGCAACAATCTTGCTCTGTTGCACCGTCACCTTGTCTGGAAATACTGTACAGGCGAAGCACGGTTGCTCCTCTTCGGCCAGTGCACTCGGCACTGCCGATGTGTCGCGCCAACAACCCCCCAGGGCAGGAGAGTTCCATTCAAAAGGCTCTCAAATGTTGTGTTGTCATTGAACAAATTCCTGTCTGAGACTGCTGTGCGCCTCGCAGCAGAATGTTGCGTGCGTGGCGAGGGGGCGACGTTGGGCGGTGGCCGTGGCGTCGTCGCTTCGGGACACTTTTTTTTCAGGCAAGGCCCATAAAGGAAAGGCTTCACAGCAAGTGGTCCGCGACAACTATCCACCACCTGAACTATTGTTTTACGTGGTCCTGAACGGATCGCAAGCTGACACAATCGTACACGTATTTGGCCCGGGTCTGCTGTTGGTTTTCGGGAACCACTGCTACACGTGCATTCTTTCAACCTCTCACCGAGGCCACGAGACGGTTCCCCTGGGTCAGGAGGGAAAAGCACTCCGCACCGCCTTGGAGATGAAAAGCTTCCTTGTCCGCCATCGGCAAGGCCTTTGCCACCTGCGATAATTGCAGAAGGCGTGCAGGGGGGAGGAAGGGGCAGAGGTTCAAACACCTCTGTTCCACGTCTTTCACGAGGTTTGCAACAAATGAATGCGATGCGCCCCCCGACGCCTCGAGTGCTAGGGGCCTAGGCCTTCCCCCAAGGCACGTTTCGACACACAAACTTTGGCCTCCGTGCATGATCTCTTCTGCTTGCTCTCTAGCAACAGGACGGCGTTTCTACCCGGGAAAGGTTTTCGATCGCCCGCCTTGTTCGTGCGAGGTTACGGGTGTACTCATAGCCGTGCATGCCGTAGTGGTTTGGCCATTGGCCTCGCATCCCTACGAAAGCCGAGACGGAACACGCCGGGTTTTCACCGGACCAGGCTAGCACATCACCATACGCGAAGCGCCGAGAGATATGAGGGGGGGGGGGGGGATGAGGTTTACGTAGATACCTGGTAGAGGATATGGTAGCTTCGCTCGCTCTCTTCGAGGTGCACGAGCCTGGACTTTTCCAGCAGGAAGTGCTCGGTCCTCGCCCCCACGAGACGGAAGTCGTGGTCGTACTGCAGCTTAATGTACTTGCCTGCTCGGCACGATTGTTGCGAGGTGTTGGTTACGCAGCGTATGAAGGTGCGAATTTAGAGTGGCCCGGAAGGTGCCATCGCTCGAGGCCATTTACTACACCAGGCTTTGAGTTTGTCAGCTCCGCCGTGTGCTGGACTCGAAGAGAGAGAGAGAGAGAGAGAGCTGGTGTGCACTACAACACCACCATGTGCAGTCCTCGATGCAAGGAATGTTATGATCTTGGTGGACGACGAACATGCACAGCGGCGACTTGGCAAGCTTGCTTGCCCCTCACCGAATCGGCTGGAGTTGTCGTTCCTCACGGTCTTGGCGTTGCCGAAGGCCTCCAGCACGGTGTTGCTCCTGAGCAGCACGTCCTCCATGTGCTTCGCCGCTCCGGCTGCCGTGGTAGCCACAGCGGGAGACCTCCAGAACCCTTCGACGCCGAGACAACGAGGACAAGAATATGTCAAACACCAACAGCACCGGGACCGCGTGCCTGTGTTAATCGAACAGCAGTTTAGATGCGGAAGGGCTTGGGTGGGTGGTGATAAAACTTGTGTTGGTTCTCTTGATCGTGAAACACGGCTTATCGTGCGAGCATATTTCCAGTGACAACGCTTATGCGTTCTCCCCCTGGACAGTGCACTGGAAGCTTGCGCATCGTGCGGGGCCGAAAGCCCGGAAGGACAAAGCGACAAGCCCACAACTGCAATCGCCCTCAACTTCTCATGAACTCCAAAAACGCGGCTAGCCCTGGCCACATCATTCTCGCCATCAGCACCATACGCCGTCTCTCCTCTGAGCGACAGCAAGCAATCAACATCGCATCTCTACCACCAGCGCCATAGGGTCGAATAAGGAAACCCTCCCTCCCCCGTCCCGCAACAAGCGTCACCTGGAGCGCTCCGGCCGCCCGTCGGAGTACCTGCTACGCCGTACGCCTTAGGAGTGCCGGCTACCGGAGTTCCAGCCACGGCGTAGCCCTGGGCGCGGGGAGGGGCAGGCGCCGTCCCCGCCAACGCCCGGCTTGCGGTGATGAGAAACCTCATGACGTGCTTGGAGGCCTCTGTCTTCCCCGCGCCCGACTCCCCGGTGATGAGGATGGACTGGTTGCGGCGACGGACGCGCCCGTCCACTTCCCTTCCCTTGGTTTCGGACATGTACCTGAGGATTGAACGGTGCGGGAATCCAGGGTGCGGGATTCATGGGGGTAATATCATGAGGTTCACGGGTGCGCGCATCACGGGGGTATCATAATGAGGTTCGGGCCCAGGGGGTAGGCGTTTGGTCCGCGGCAAACGTGCGGGTGGCCTGCGGATTTGAACAAAAGCGTTGTCTGTGCAAAGGCTGGTCGTTTTTCGACCATCTACGCCCCTTCTGTTGGATGCAATCTTAGGTGTAGGAGGGATTGAGGGGGTATGATGAGGTGAAAGGGCGAGGTTGTGTTTTCGGGAGTGTAATTATTTGTATCCGGAGGACAAAACGTCTATCGAGTTGACGCGGTGAAGAGGTAGCGAGTGTTAGCTGGGGCTTTCGAGTCAAATGCTCGTGTTGAAGATGGAGCACTTGGCGTCGTCGTGTTGCCCTCCCCTCCCGTTTGAGCCAAGACGGGCATAGGTTCTGCTACGGTTCGTCGATGTCTCACCACGTTCTTCTATGTATCGAAGGCGATCTGGGAAATACTTTTCGTTCTGTGGACTTCTTCCTACAGACTCTTGTACATCCAACAGCATGCCAGTGTTGCTTTCGCCCCCCTCCCCAACGTTTGGAACTCACTTGAACGCCCTATCCGCCACGCCATACACGTGCGGCTTTCCAAGCATGCTCTTCAGGGCCGTCAGCTTGGACTTTGCGTCCGGCTCTTTGGCTCTCTTCCCGTTGCCTCTCTTGTTCCGATGACGGTCGTCCTGCCCTTCCTTAAACTCTCGCATCAAGGCCGCGCTCCGCTCGGCCACTCTACCGCCGGCGGACGGCCCGCGGACGCTCACGTTCAGACCTGGCAGCACCCCTGGTGCGGCCTTAACCACCTATCGGGGGGGGGGGGAGGGGTCACGCAGAGCTGGTGTTCGCGCATTCGTTTTTTCTACCCGTGGGGTGGGAGAAGCAGCGGCGGCGGCGGCCGGCATTGTTGGCAAAGGGAAAACGGGGACGGAAAGGAGCAGCCCCTCTTGGCACGCACGGATGCTAAAACAGCCACGGAGCTTTTGTCCCGCAGTGTTTTTTCGCCAGTGTCCCGGCAGAAACTACAACAAGAACAACCTAAGCGACACCAACAACTATTGTAACTACACGAAGAGCGCTGATGATGACACGAATACGTGAGTTCCATATCCCAAACAGACACCAATTGACGGCAATAGAAACAACAACAAGGCCCATCGACGCGATCGCATGGGGTGCCGATGCGCTTAGCCCTCGTCGGGGGGCGAGACTGTCACCAACGTACCGGCATGGGGATATCGTAGAGACCAGGGATATCCGTGTACGGGTTGATCGACACCAGCACGTCGGCCACATTGGTGTAGATGGAGTTGGCTCGGAACCGCCTGTGTAGTATCGGAGAACGGGGCAATTATTTTCTGCCTGTTCATATCTTAGCGGTGGTTTGTTGTTAGGCTCTCTGGACATGCTGCGTGCGCCTGGGTCGTGTGGGGGCAACTCTTCTGAACCAGGTATCCCAAAGCTACAATGCAACTTTTTCAAGTCGAAAAGCACCGATGCCATCGAGCACAGGCGAAGGCTGTCCAATATTTGCACGGACGTACGAATTTTCAGGATCACCATGAGCACTTCGTTTTGCGGCAGGTACATCAGTATGGATATCTTCTCGTTTCCCGATCGGGGTTCAGAGGTTTCTGTAGATGCACGGAGAACGTGGGATGTATCATTCATGCCCTGAACATTGAGAGCACCAATGACGACGATGACGAAGGCACAACACCAACTTAGCAGCAGCAACAGCAGCAGCAGCAGCAGCAGCAGCCCACCTGTGGAGAAGATCGAGAAGCGGTGCCTCGTGCATCTGGTTCATGCGCGACGCGTCGTCTAGGTCTAGGGCGTGGCTGGGGTCGTAGTCCGCGCAATCTCCCAGAGAAATCTGCACAGCAGCGAGGCCCCCGACGCATAGGTCATCCGGAGCATAATTCAAAGTCATGGGCACCGACATGTAGCGATCTACGAGTTGTATCGCTTCTGCTTCGACGTAGAGTATGGCAAGGGTTGGTAGTGCGATTTTTTTCGAGCGGAAACCCGTCTTGATACATACCCAGATTACCGAAGAAAACGGAACGGTTTCCCCCTTCCGTGTTGATGCAACATCATCGAGCTGTCGGTCGATTCGTTGTTTGCAAGCGACCCTGAAGGGTAAACGCAAGGAACGCTTTATCCCACTGGTTTTGGAATTTCCGCAAGCTTCGTTTGAAAGCAAGGTGGGAATGGTCTTGGGGTGTGCCTCCACAGGGAGTTCAGAAGCAGGGGCGTTTCTGTCATTGCTAGTACCCGTCGGTGGAAGCGCCGTGTATCAACCGCATGGTCGTGCTCGGGCTCCGCTTTTCGGTCCTCGCTGCCACATGGCACAGGACCCCCCCCCCCGTTCCAACATACAACATGCCCAACGTTCGCATTGACCGCTGCAATATCGACGTGACCTATACCAAGCGGAACATCGACAACACTCATTCCGATCGCCTTGCTGCCCGTCCGTGGAACCCACGGCGGAGAATACCTCATTGTATCTTCAAAAAGTTGCCAACGGACCGAGGACATGAAGCCTGCTCCATGGCAGGAAACCACAAGTCCTTGCGAAAGGCCGACAACTGGAACCTATCTGGCAGCCACAACTTCCAATGTCCAAAGTGGAGCAGAACCCCAATGTGTTGCAATGAGGAAGACAAACAGCCCTTGGAGGGAGAAGAAAGACCCTTAACCCAGCAGAGTGACGTTTTGACCAGCCTCCTCTCCCCTCGATCTAAGCCGCACCTGATCCCCCTAATAGCCAATGTTGGCAGCACCCAACCCGCGCCTACGGTGCTGAATCAATTCGAGTAACTTGCCTCGGTCTCCCGCTTTCCGTCTTTGGCCAGCACGGTGTATGAGCTCCCGTCCGCACTCTCGGACACGACCTCGGCCATCCTCCACACCGCCGCTTTGTCGGGCAACCATACGCGGCGACCGCTCTGAAAATTCGTGTAGGTTAGAAATATTTGTATTTTCGGGAGTGGGAAAGCAGTTTGGCTTCTTGCTTGGATTTTATCCTGGAGTCCCCTAGCACCCTACGCACAACGACCGTTCTTCCGATTGGAAAGCTCGATCGGTTGACGATTTTTCAAGTCTCTACATGGGCTTTCTGCGTTCAGATCCAATTCACCAACAAAATACCCGCGAACCAAGAGAAACGAAGCAAAACATTGACGTACAAGCTGGCGTCGAGGGAATGGAGAGACTAAAACTCTCACCGCTCTAGCGTCGCGGCCAAAGCCCCCGGTCAACCCACTTGAGGTTCCTGCTTCCATTATCCAGCGCTCAGTTTCATCCTGGGAAGAAGGGAGATAACAAAAAAATGAGTTTCACGCCCAAAGCTGGGAATCCAGAGGAGGTGGGCGGTTTCTTCCCAGGTGGCAACGATAGGTGCTGCTAGCAGCGTTAGTCTTGAGCTACGCTATAATACGAGGTCAGTCCTCTCATGTCATGCGACGATCATCAGAAAACTGCCAATTGTCAACGGCGATATGCATGCCACGATAATGGTTTATGACATGCCCTTGTGCAAAGCCTCTGACTGGTGAAGAATCGCGGTTTACCCAAAACCCATGGGGGTCTTCACGTTGGAAGAACAAACGTGACAATGTTCTCCATGTTTCATCTTTACGACGAGAAGGGTCTTTGAGCGTAATGGGGCACAATTGTAACAAACCAATAACCGGAGGGCAACAACAAGTGGGGGGATATTGACTATTTAGTCATTGATTCCGTCAGCGCCCACCCTCCTCCTTCAAGTGCCTTTTCTCCATGGAAAACATTTAGTTTGAATTTGAAGCCTGCGAAATAAACTGTACCTCTCCGCTGTCAATATCCAGCTCGATTTCGGTCACGGCGTTTGTCGAGGTACCCCCATTCTGCGAAGAGGAGGCGGCGGCATCGCCTCCTGCTCCAGCTCCACCTTCCTCGTTGAAACGGCGCACCAACCTCCGCAGCATGCCTTGATGCTGCTCGCCCTGAAAAACGAGACACCTGCTCCCCGCGGGGTGAAGAACACGAACACACAACAATCAGACATCTCGAGAAGTACCAAAAAGCGTACCCAGCCCTGGGGCGCCGTTGACACTCTTTCTCCAATTGGTATGCATACGGATGGCTGAGCGCAATGAGACAATCGCACATGTTGGCCCCCGAGATGTTTCGGGTCTTTCTGTGGGGAGACCGAAATTCCTGTGGCTTCAAGACGTACCTTTAGTAGGATGGGGCGTACTCTTCGATCCTTGCGGCGCAGCTCAAGTGCAGTTCAGTCTATTCATGCCGCGGTATAGGCTATTAACCGTGGTTTCAATATTTGATACCCAGCTTAAGCATGGGTGGGCCCCTTTGGTCAAACCTACCCTGGAAACCCTTGGAAGACAGACCCCGGCTTGTTGACTTTTGTAGAATTATGAAAAAGTCATTTTTCGTGAGTAGGCTCATGCGAAACAACTTCTCCATTATTGTGCCAAAACGTTCAAAAGAACACGAACATAAATGAAACATCCATATTCGTGATCTTCTTGTCGAGCTACGTCGCTAGCTGCAGAGTTTTCCCGTTTTTCCCGTTTTGAGCAAAAGACGCTTGTAATTAAAATGATCCACGGGACCCCTGGTGACCCCTATTGTCTGCTAGAGGAGCCCTGCTGAAATTACCCCCTAATGAGGATAACTTGATTGTACACATATGCATATGTATTTATTTGGGGCCTAACCATCACCGCGTTTCTCCTGAATTTAGTTTAACTCGGGGAGACAAAAAAAACAAAAAACACCCAGGGCAATTGACGAGAGGAGGAATCCAGGAAACGTTTGTCGCATTCATGTTTGAAATCCTATGGTTGGATGTCCCGAACGAATCGATGGAAATGGCTAATGGTCTTCCATATTCAGGAAATGTTCAGCACCTCGCGACTTTTTTGGCAACTAAAACACTTAAAGAAACACTCCCAGGACAGCGAGCACATGAGAGCTCTCCGACTCGATAGCGCCCGCACGGAAGATCGTCTAACTAAATAGTTTTTGCCGAGGCTGGGGTTCTGGGGTTCTTACATAGACTACATCAGTAGTTCCTCTAAATGGGCAATGGTCATACCTTCTTCCCCTCGCGGCCTCGGCAAGACTTTTGCTTAGGCATGGCCCATAGCGAGGGGGGGGGGGTGTACTCATAGTCGTGCATGCCGTAGTCGTTAGACCATTGACCTCGCATCCCTACAAAGTCGGGACGGAGCACGCCGGGTTCTCACCGGACCAGGCTCTCACATCACCAAGCGCGAAGCGCCGTGAGGTATTCGGCGAGTCGCATGAAGGATGAGCTGCATCCTGCCAAGGGTGTTCGGCATATTGTGCTTACTTCCTTGCGTACGGATGACAGCTGCATATGACTTAATTTATTTTCTGGTGCTTTCACTTCCAGAGACAGTTGTAAGCACTGTGTACCTGCCTCGAGGACGCTTGACCATTTTAACACAACGTGGTGCGATCATCCCCCTTGCGCGGAGTGAGGGTTCTCGACCCCTCACAACATGATCTACTCGACCACCATTATGGTTACCGCCAAAAAAAGTACAGAGGAAAAAAAAAACGGTAACCTGGTTGCCGAATTCACGAAGTGAATTGTCTTGTTTTACAACGTCGTTGCCAAGCGACGAAAACCCACACCCCGATGACAAACACCGGCGGGGGGTGAGGGGGGGGGGGGGGGGCGTACTCATTTGTTGCTTGCCGTAGTCATTTGACCATTGACCACGCGTCCCTTTCGAGACGGAGCAAACACCGAGGGGGGATCTTGTTTTACAACGTCGTTGCCAAGCGACGAAAACCCAATCCCGATGGCAAACACCGAGGGGGGATCTTGTTTTACAACGTCGTTGCCAAGCGACGAAAACCCAACCCCGATGACAAACACCGGCGGGGGGCGAGGGGGGGGGGGTATTTCTAGCGAGCATGGCTAGACTCACCCTCAAGGGACCGATACCTTCTTGCTACGGCGCACCCGCCGCGAGGCGTGCGTAGTGGTAGAGTTGGGTCGGCACTGGTGCGTCAGGTACAGAAAAGCAGATGCGCGGGCCTCATGGCCGTCGGTGTAGACAGCAATGTCCATCTCAGTTTTATGCGCGGAGGCAGACGCCATCAGAAAGGTGGACAGGTAGGCCCTCGGTTTGCTAGAGGGAGCTGTACTGTCTCAGTAACCAGGCTTCGCCATCAAAGGGGAGGAGGGAACAGGTGGTGACGAGCTGAGTGGGCTGGTTGACCCTTCGTGCAACGAGGGAGAAAGCGAGGAACCGACCGGGAAGGACAGCAACGAGAGCGTGTACGGACGGAGCGGGTCGAGTTTGGTCGTGCTAGGACTGGCCGCAGCGACACCGGAGCAGCGGCACCGGAGCACACGGACGACATCGAACCGTGACGCACGGACGAACACATTGTGTTGTCTAATATTTTCCGTTTTTTTCCTGAACATCGGTGTCGGGTGTGTGTAATGACGTCACTGGTTTTGTAGAGAGACGCGGCAGAGATGGCGCGGATACCCCGGGTGCCTTTATTGCGTACCTGCACCGTGGAAGACCCCCAAGGGGCCCTCCACATGGAAATATCGGAACACCCCTGGGCTACGCTGCAATCTTGGTCGCTGGGGGGGGGGGGGGGGGGATGGGCCTTACATGTCCCCGGAGGAGACATTTTGACCAAATCCCCGGGGTTTCGACACTTTTCGCGCGCTTTATTCAACGCGCTCGCGCGCTCGCGCGCACGGCAACCTACACACAGCCGTGTGCGCCTGTGCGCCCGTATCTTGGAGGCCATGTCTGCCGCCGAACGACCACTGCTCGAGGAAGAGGGCAGTGCCATACATAGTACTTGTAGCATTCCTGAGGTCTTACGAGGTGTTGATGGCATCAGACCTGTCTTCAAGAAGGGACGGAAACACTGGGTTTGTCCTGCCAGCACGACTTCAAACAAGCAGCGGGGCTGCTACCGGAGAACGTGGCTGCCCACGTCGCTGGCGGAGAACACAGGTGCCATACTAGAGTGAGAGAGACATACACCTGCTCAAGCGTGTCTGCTGGTGCCCGTATTATAGCGTGACTTGATGCACTCACATGCTACCTGCTGTTGTACATTCAGCAGGTTGCTTAAGATACCACACCCCCTGGACTGATTTGCAAAGCTCGAGAACTCCACGACGAAGAGGATGTCGACACCAAACAGTACGTTTTGGGAAAGCTCTCGAGGAGACGGTTCCAATGCCGCAATTTTCGGCACCGTCACTGTTGCACTCCAGAGTAATCGGCCTTTAGCATTCAGAACAGGGGGTTATGTATCGGGTGCAAACTACGTAAGTAACCACACACCCTTGTTTGTTTGGCGCCCCCCACAAGGCCCTTAACAGCAGTAGTACTTGAAGTTCGATCAAATAAAAAGGTGCCAACGACCACCTTACCCGTACCACACAGCAGCTCACACGGTGCCATATTGTTTTTCTCGTATACATTTATACTTCGTATACATCATGGTGGTGTTATACGTCGCATACGGTTATCCCTTGCAGCGCGTACCTCATGTCGAATAGACAGATCGAGTTCTCTCCTAAAACCCATGACAGCTTCCAGCAGTCGGAGCAATCAGGACGCATAGACTGCTGCCTATCCTACAGAGTACGACAGAATCCCGCAGTACTAACTGATCTCGCCGCGTGTACAGGAAGTGGGAGAAGGAACGGAAGGACGCGGCGTCTTCCCCAAGCATCGCATCGTTCTTTCGGCGTCCGCAAGCACGTAAGCCCGAGAAGCCCGACGTGGACACGGGGTCCAACAGGCCGGCACCCGCGTGTACTGTGGTACTCTCGGACGATGAGAGTGGAACTGCGAGTGATCCCGCCGCCGGCGATGGTGCGGGAGAGCACGGCGGCGGCTGTGTGGGAGATGGCGGCAGCGATGCGGGAGAGTATGTCGGCGACGGTGCGGGAGAGAATGGAGGAGACGGTGCAGAAGAGCAAGGCGGTACGGTGGACGAGATGGAGCAAGGCAGCTACGGCGGGGGTGGCAGCGTCGACGATGTAGACGACGGCCTGTATGTTCTGCCCGACTCCAATCGGCTGCCCGTCGCAGACTACCCTTTCTGCCTGCATGGCAAGGGGCAAACGCCATTGCCGTGGTCCTGCACTATCCAGCGTTGCTCTCACTAGCAAGCGAGGAGCGATGTCGACTGTCGAATGCTTCTTGTGCGGGATTGACACGGTGACGGTTGCCGACATGCGGGCACACGTCGCTCAACATCAACTGCTGCAAACTGACCTTTTGTCCGCGGATTTTGAGGGTAGGTCGCCCTTGGGGTATTTTTGTTTGCTTCGGGTCTTTGCAATATGCAGTTGTGGGCATACGGTGGTACCGTGCTTCTCTCTGCGCAGGCGCTCGTTTCCCTTCTTCCCCCTCAAGGACATGACAGGATCCTGACTTTCCCTTTGTCCACCGATTGTTTTTGACCAGATCACTGATTGGGACACGCGACAGGACCGGTGCGGCTTCTGTGGACTTGCCGGCACGTGCCCAGTCTCCTTGGTCGGGAAGGGCAACAAAAACGAGGCAAAGAAGATATTCACGCAGTGCCGTTACGCCCCGAGGAAGGAAGGGACAACGCTGACCAACGACGTTCAGTTGAGGCTGTCCTCGGCGGCAAAGTTCTACGCCACGAACCCGTGCACGAACGTGCCCATGGAGTGCCCGGCTTGTCGCTTGCGAAACCAGACGGTAGTCGTGTGAAAGTACTGCATGCCGGTGCACGTGCTGCACGCGCACGGTGGCCCAGACAGCCCCGAAATTCTCCCGCACAAGGAGTTCGCAGCTTCGTATCAGTTGAGCGAAGAAGAGGTTAAAGCGGTGAAAGAGTTGACCGAGGGCACGGGTCGCCCCGCGAGGCTGGGTCCAGGCAAAAAAAAACTAGGACAGGGGCAGGATCTAGCAGT